GACACAGGTAAATCGGGCGTATTAAGCAATGTTGCTTTAATGGACCTTGAAGAGTCCGATAACGAGAATAAGTGGTAGACTTCATTTAGGTTCTTGCAAACGACTCTGAGCGGATTGAACAGCTAATAATTAAATTTACACTGACTAAGCTTAACCAAGATAAAGTCTCTAGAGAAGCGGTTAGGTACATTAAAGCTTATTTCACCAAGTAATGAAGGTGAGTCAATAGCACCATTTATTACTTTGATTACGAAGGAGACGCCAAGAACAAGCCTACGTTTCTCAAGAGACGGTAAGCACAGCAGAAGCAACCTATTTTCATAGGGAGGAAGAGAGGCAAACGGATCGCAACCCAAATTTCTAAAGGCAAACGGCAAGAATTGCTTTTGAACAGATTCAATCAAATCTACGTAGCACCTATATGAAGGAGACCACACAACTGAGGCATACTCGAGTATAGGTCTAACCAAACACATGTAAAGCATTTTCGTAATGTAGGGATCATCAAGCTCTTTGGACCACCTTTTCATAAAACCAAGCGCGGATCTAGCTTTGCTTATCGAGAGCTAAATATGCAAGTTGAAACGCAACCTATGGTCAAATAGAAGCCTAGAAAACTTGACAGGTAAACTCTAACAAGTTGGTGACTGTAGATCGCCCTTTCCGAAAGCCGTGCTGGTGCGGAGAAATATACGAATTAATGGCAAACGCCAGATGCTGAGTCACAATTCGCTCGAACAACTTTGGCAAGACACTCAACTTGACTAGGCCTCTGTAGTTCTCAACAAATTGTCTACTTCCAATTTTGGGGATAGGATATAGGAAACTGCTCTTCCAACATGAAGGGAAAACGCCTAAATACAAGGACAGGTTAAAAATCTTTGAGATCACACCACATAACTCGACAGCGCAAGATTTAAGTACACATGATGGAATTCCATCAGATCCAGGCGAACAACTATATTTTAGAGAACTCAACCCTTTAAAAACGTCATCTTCCGCAATAACCAAGTTAGGTATTGAAACCGAGTTAGTTATAGGATATGTATAGTTTACTGATAAATCGAAATTAGCAATCGAAAAGTTTCGTCGGAAATACTCAGCAAACAGATTTGAGATTTCAAAATCATCCGAGGAATCAGAGCCATTAAAAGAAACATGAGAGGGATATGTGGAAATTTTTTTTTTTGGAGTTAACAAATTTAAAAAAGTATTTAGGATTAGCAAACAGAGAGGATTTAATGAAGTGAAGGTATCTGCAGTAATAATGATGGCTGAGGGAGTTAAATCTATGCCAGAATTATCACTGTTACACCAAGTGACTTGAGGCAAGTTGAAGTCATCCAATGCAACGACCAAATCGGTGGGTCTAGACCTCTTGGCCACTTCACAATTGAGCGCAGTGTGATTCTTGTAAATGGAGATATCAGAATTTCGGGGAATATAGGAGCAGGTTATAAATAGATGTTATTATATATATTATATTGTAATTAAAAAGTAGACTTACTTCATTTTGCTTCATAAGCATTTGATAAGATAATCTATTATAAATTACTGCCGGCCGACAACTATTACCGAAATCGTGTGCAGATAAATTTTCATTTTCGTATTACCACATTGGATCTTTTACATTCGCTTTACCTCTTCTTGGGTTTTTCATCAGAAGTTCAACTCATATCGTTCGCTGTATGCAGTTCCATCTGCTGTTTAGATATCGCTGAAATATGAAGTCGTTATGAGTACAAAACTGAGACCGAATCGAAAGAAGCTTTTCATTAAACGGAAATTGATAAGCGCATTTGATTAGCACACGTATCTGATATGGTGCTGTGAACTTGAGAATACATCGGCTGGTTCATCAAATCCGAGTGACTTAAATAGGAAAATCTTAGCAGATCTTAATTTCGACATTCCAAATAAGAAATGCATCAAGTACAAGAGAAATATCACTTTCAGAATTATGACGGGTTTCCGAAGTAAGCATTTTCGAAAAGCCTTTCACGAATAAACGCAGTGAGCTATTTGAGCCGAGAATAGTGAAACCAGATTAAAAATACACAGATCACAAATAGCTGACCGGAAGATAAAAGAAAGTAATATTATACCGTATTATGTCTGGTGTAGAAAAGCGACGCCGTACCAAGCGAACTGTCATCATCGGCAAGGATTCACGGGGCGCCGCTTTGGGATCTCAGCTGAGTCTTTCTAAATTCTCCAAAACCCATTCAGGATTGGTTAACCAAACATTGTTCTTTATGATTACTACTGGTTTGACTTTTACTGTTATATTCCAGTATATTTTTCCATCGGAGATACTAATCCAAACTATGTGAAAGATCTTAATATCTGCCGACGTAAGCTTGGCTTACTCAGTTCTCACACTCGAGCGCACCCGTTCAGAAGCGTCACATCCATTGAGCGCACAAGTAAAAGATTTCTAGTTTATGTTAGATTTTATTAAATCCCAACGAGCACAATTCATTTCGGCTAGAAAGCTTTTGTAAACAGTGTAGATTGACTTTTTGTATCTTCCGACCCGAACGAAGATATCTAAATAGCGTTAATTGAATTAGATTTCTAAAGTGTTAAATAAAGGAGAAGTTGTCTTTTAAATGAATTTCCTCTCGACATAGTTTTAGATTGAATCGTTATTTGCATTTTCATGTCTAAGCCATGCGTAAAGAATCACTGTTAAAGGAATAATAGGGGTGTCTTTACAAGACTCTTACATTAAATGTAGTATTTGAGAGACCTTTAATTATACTTCCAGTTTAAATCTTTTCTAAGGGCAGAATTGAATGTAAAATATTAGAATTTAATTTATAATTACGATGGTAGGCTATGAAAAATTCTATTTACCCATTTACACGAAAGTTAAGATTAAAAAAAAAACACGTAATATGTGCAGAAATATTAAAAAATGTCGTTTTTGCGTAGCAAGAAAAGACTATTTATTTATTTATTCTCTCTGACTCTTATATCTTATAGTCAGGAAGAGGAGTGTTTCAACTTGACTTTCTTTAGCACACCATACAAAATAATTTGTTTGAACATATTTTTCCGTGAGGTGCTAAATAACCTCAGCGAGTACGTACGGCTGCGGGCCAAAAGTTTGTATAGTGGCATTGTACGAAATTTTAATATTTTATATACTATTTATTTTTACTTATTTATTTATTTTTCTTGACTTTTGTGTTTGATGAAGCTCAGAAAATCAGTTCAATTTTGCTTACAAAAGTTGCTCCACACATATCATTGCTTACGTCTATTAATAATTACGAATAAGCTAAGCGGATAACTGGCTCGCACTCCTTTGTAGATCTCGCTTATGTAAATGAAAACAAGATTAGACTACTTAGTAATTAAAACTGGATAGGAATTGAATATCCAAAGTTATCTCCTATCAATTGTCGAATCAAAATACAATTTTCAACGGATGCTTGTTATATTCAGTCCTGTGATATGGAAGATACGATTCTGGAGTTAAAAAAGTTTCAAAAGGTACCAAATTATAACTTAATGAACGCCATAAAAAATCGCTTCAGAATCTATTCGATCAGCTCTAATGGGTAGCAAAATGAATTTTCTATCTTTATTTGGTTCGGGACAGTAAAGTTTCGATTAGATTATGAACGACTTTAACCTTGACATATCATATATTTATATTAAAAGACTGAAACTTAACAAATTCTAACCGCTAGCAACTTAAGGAAAGGGTAATCAAAACAATCTTAAAGCAAAGAAGATCGAAGCAATTATAAATTGCTGTGGTAAACCAAGAAAACTGCTATAATCGTTCATAAATCTCTATGTAAGTAACATTGGAGATGTTCGATTTGTATTTCTCTCCATTAGTTATTCGATTTATTGATTTGATATACCAAAGTCATAATATCATTAATTGTAACAATTCGACAAGGAATCCGGCCTCATATAACAAAACAAGCTGAGAAAATAGTTGCGTTTCCCACTTGGAATATCCTATCTTCGCCGTTGCTATCTGCAAACGGTACCCTTTTCGATTAATACGAGTTTAACTAGATAAGAGCCGCGAAAGACGAGACAGTTTTTGTCCCGTAGCCAATAGTAGTCAGCGATGGACAATGCTTTGATTGATAAAACAGCGGATCGGACTACTCTTTATTCTCAATGTATAACATGCCGCAGACACACCGCTTTAGCTAAGCGTGCCCGCATACGACTGCAAGCTAAGTTAATTTAATCTGTAAGATAATTTAACCTGTAACTTATAATAACAAGAAAATTACATTTTTCTCCAATTCTCTCGAAGCCGTTTTGAAATACGTCATAGGAGAAAAGAGTATATATATTATTTTATTAGTGTTTGACTAGAGTATGATAATATCATTAGAATTCGCCTTAAGCGTTGAGTTTAATCGTCCGTATAACAATATTAAATAACTTAAAACTTCCATTTTTGTTTGTTTATAAGCGAGCATGACTTTCCAAGATATCGGCTCATATTTGCGCAGCTGAATCCTTTTTTAGTTCCTGTAATGAAAATCTGCTTCAGCGATTATATTTATTATTAAATACAAAATATTTGTAATTACAATAATTAAGAGTCATGTTTAACGATGTTTTTGTTGCTTTTGATTATAGATTTACAATTGAAAGCTTTTTTGTTCTAGCCCATTATCGTTTAAACAAAAGGTTGAGAAGAGAAAAGGGAACAGAACGCTCTATGTACATTTTATTTAAAGTACATCACATTTAATATCGGTTTATTGTATTAAAAAAAAAAAAGAAACAATGGCATGAAATTTCATTATATAACGATTCTTTTAAAACTATTTGATAAGAGTCATCAAAATTTTTATCACTTACTCGCAAACATGGAAAAATATCATTTATATTTTTTTATTAATTTAAAGTGAAATCCCTTTATGATTAAAGACCAAATTAATTAAAGATTGGCTTTTATATATTTAATAATTTATTGAAAAACGAATACGAAAAATCATTGGGTTGGTTACCAGATACGTGTGGTATTCTTATGTTGGCTGCCATGGATCTTACGTATGCATCGTCCGGGTAGACCTATAATATTGGATTTTTCATCTACCCCATGCTCGGATACCTCATCAGAACGTAAACATCAGATATTATCCGAAGTGGAATTGAAAGAGCGGTAGGCTTATTATTTAAAATGAAATAATAATAATACTAAATAAATAAAAAGGAAAATACTTTTTCCTCCCTTAATATGAAAAAGAAAAAATTATCAACTTTTTCTATATTTTTAAACAGATCGTCGAAATCATTGTTGGCCAATGTCTTGGACATAGACGACGACTTTCGCAATTGCCGACCAATGACGCCAGGCGGTACTTTGCCACACAATCCTGCTTTCTATCGAACTGTTTATGGGTATTTCTTTTATTACAATTGTTATAATAAAATTTCTTCTTAAATAAATTTTCAACTTTTATCCTTTAATCACATTAAAATTAATAACAGACAAGGCGATGACGGTAGTATTGGTCCAATAGGCAGCACCCGAATGCCAGATGCTGTAACACATCATTCATGTATAAAATCTTCGACCGAATATGAATTAAGTTTAATACTAAAAGAAATACGTTTTATAACCGATCAGGTAATTGAATAAATATATAAAAAAAATTCATCAATTTTCACTAATAAAAATACTCACGATGGTATATATTACGTTGTACTAAAAATTTTGCCGTATCTGCGTAGGAGGCCCGTCTAGAAAACATACCAGTCCAATTTTTTATAATTGTTTACAAGAAATGTATCTTTGAATTTCGGCAAGACCAGCTCGGATGAATATCAATACTTCGTAATTTTCCTTACCAATTTTTTTACTTAAGTTGCTCAGATCTTACTGACAGTCCCACCCTACTAAATCCTGTCATCGTAGAAGAACACTATTACTACTAACACTTAAACTATAAAATGCCCACAGAGCGATACTCGTCCTATAAATAGTAAAAGCCAACGTGGGCAATTTCAATGCTTTTATGAAAGAAATTTTTTGTCATGTAAATATAAATGCATATTTTAGTGACTAATTTGCCACAAATTTCGGATCTTTTCCTAGAACAAGGAGCAAATGATCCTCTCAAGGTTACTTATTGCACTATACGTTGATTTTTCATGCCAAAGTGTTTCTTTCTAAAGTTATGTAGTAATTGATGGTAATTGATTTTGATAAAACGTTTGCGCAATTGAAACTACGGTCTTTAATTATATATTCGAAATTTAGACCTTTCAAATTATTTCAAAACAAATTCGTAAACTTTCCTCTCGAAAATCTTACATGTATAATACACCAAGAAACTTTTAAATTTATAATTTATATTACATAGTCTCAGAACAACATTGCAGGGCATCTAATTGTTCTTCTCAACTAATGTACTCCGTTTGATGACAAAAATTTTCCTCCAACTTGATATATTTTTTCTTAGAGTAAATAATACTTATTGTATTAATAATATTTTTTTATAAAAATACTACCTAAACACTAAACAACTTACCTCTCCGACTGACCGCACAATTAAAATATTAGTTACGCAAGGAGGATGAAGAAGATGACATTGCTAATGATTGGAAATTTGCCGCTATGGTCGTTGACAGACTGTGCCTTATCATATTCACAATGTTCACAATATTAGCTACAATAGCTGTACTGCTATCAGCACCACATATTATTGTCTCGTAGCTATATGAGAGGCGAGGTGGTTATTGTTATTGGTTTTATTATAAAATCAATTTGTTAATTATTAAATTAATAACGAAAATTTTTAAATAAATTCAATTTTCACATTTAATTCATAACGCAACGTTTCTTTTAAACAAAAATAAAGAATTACATTAAAAAAATCCAAAAAAGATAAAAAATCAACAAAAAAATTGAAAAACAATACAAAAAAAAAAAAAAAAAATTTATTATTCATAAAAAATTCAATAAATAAAATAATTTCCTCCAAACATAAACTTAAAACGTATTATAAAGCATTCTAATAATTTCAATTATTAATAACCTTATTCTATACACATACACTCATGACGTTTTCAACTTTATAAAGAAAACAGAAACATTCGTTACCTAAATTTGCCTTCCTCTATTTCCTCCCTCAATTTCTTTTTCGCCCAATATTTTTATCTACCTTGAATTTACCTTGAATATTTCTATCTTATACCCATTAACAAAGCAGTATACTTCCAAGAGAGAGTCAACAGAAATATCCAGAGAGTATTCATATTTTTGTTCGACTTAAGCTTAGAGATATGTATGCCCGTCTCTGTCTACATTGTCTGACCGTGTTGTAGATCTTGACGACCGGACGATAGACTTATTCATATAAGCTTTGAAGATGGTTTCAATCCCCACCATCACATATGGTGCAGTTTTAACTATTATAATTGAGTAATTATGCCTTTTGGCAGCGAGCGCAAGGTAATGCGGATGTGACTGGCGGTAACTGAGCTACAAAACCCTAGCACAAGCTAGTTCTGTTGCCAAAAATATCAGGAGCAAAAGAAAAAATACATATCTGGGCTCAGCATTGAAAATGGATTTTCGCCAAATTGGCTTTTTCACTCAATCCATTCCCGACCTTTAGAAAAAAAAAAAAAATGCTAGATAAACGTGAATCTTTGCTGAATTGTGCAGAAACATTTATGAACTATTACACGTAGGCGTATTGTCTCGCCTGTTTTTCGTTCGTTAAAGTAGTGAAATTAAATGAAAAACTAAAAGCTGGCAACGTGATATATTCCCCAAATACTATAACTATCTTAGTCCGGCCAAGAACGCTCGATATTACACCCAATTTCCAAACAGTTATATCTCTCTTGATAACTTAGAATTACCATAGTAAAGATTGATTCAGTTACAGTCGAGTAAATATCACATGTACTTACGTTCCTCTGCTTATCCGTCCATCAACTATTTTATATTGATCCTACACACCCACTTTAGCCAAGAACGTCGTAAAAGTTAAGAGAACGAAAAATTGAAGAATATACATTATTTGTGAATTCAAAGATACAATACAACTGCTTACCAAAAGAGGTGTTAAAACTCTCTTTATAATTCCCACCGAATGATAGGTGTATAGAAAAAGTTGCGTCATCCAGAAGCTTAAAGAAGAGCACTTATAGGTATTAATTGTTTGAGACCATTGAAGATTAGAGATTTTAAGATGCTCGTAAATATTTTATTGTTCCCTGACGCGATTCTGTTGGTCAACACAATGTAACAGCAAACTGAACTGCGGACGTACGAATTTAACCCGTTGTCGCAGATCAAGTCTCGAACTCGGAGTAAAAAAAAAAAAATATATGCAAAAGAATCCTAAAAGTTTCTAGCGATTTTGCAGACTGTCGTGCGCGCAATTAACAAATCCCTGTATTAGCTTTGTTTATGGGTATTGCAAGCTCACTCTATGACCACCTTAGCTCTTCAGGCAAATGTATTTTCAATTTAAATTCATTTTGCGATTTTTATTTTAAATTGGAAAAAGGCAAAAATCTCGGTTTCCTTTTTTTGTTCTTTAAAAAAAAAAACGGTTTCCATCAAAATTATTTATATTGCTTTGTTAACTCTTAGTAGAAATTTTATGCTTTTTAAACCGACAGCAAGAAACTGCCATAAAACTAATGTGAAAGAAAATAAACAAAAAGAATATTATTTCAATATACACATAAAAACAATACAAATAAAAACGAAAAGAAGTTAAAAGAGAAGCAATGCAATCCAATATAAACACAGACGTTATCATCAACTTAATCACATCATCTTAACCACTGTACACATCACTCCAGCACATCAATTAAGTCTAATACGTAAAAACAAATAAAACAGAACAACCAACGAAACATTAATCAAACAAGAATAAAAAGGATATCCTAAAAATTAAAAAAAATCTAATAAAAATAAATAAGCTAAAGCGAAAACCAATCATACAAAAACCAACACCTCCCCGACTCAATTCTAACAACAATTTTCTAAGCCACATATTTCGTATGAATGGCTTTGCAATTGGATTGTTTTCCAATTCTCGATTTATTCAATATTCGTGGTCAATTAGATGACCATCGTGAGATTATGCGCTAAGCCAGTGCTCCCAAATGTCTTTTTTCTTCTTTTTTTTTTTTGTTTTTTTTTTTTTTTGTTAATGTAATTACTATTGTGCGGCTAATGTATATAATAGTAATAAAAACAATTTATGCAGCTGCGAGCAATAATATCTGCGTGTTGATGAAATGCATAATTTTTGGTGTTATGCAAATGAATATACAAATAACCGAACGACATATTGTTTGGCGACATTTTTCACATACATAAGGCTACTACTGTAAGTAACAGTAGCTCTTCGTGCTACATTTTATTAATATATTAAGCCAAGTCCTTAGTCAATCGCAAATTGTTAATCACGAAAAATGACTGGGTAGGCGAAGAGGTTTCAATTTTCGAAATATTTCCCCAAATTTTCTCTTCACGCTGTTAAAAAATGCGCTTACTATTACTTTTACTATTACTTTTTTATTTTGCTCCTAAAAGTTAGATCAACGGTTTCAAAAGTTTTTTATATATTTTTTCAAAGAGAGGACGCTTAGCATTTTAGTTAAAAGTCCTTTTCCACTTGTTTGCACTTCGGGAACAGCTCAATTGCTGTTATTCAATTGAAATCGAACTAGATGTAACACTCCGAGGTCTCGGTAAAGGCAGCTGCTCACCGGGAAGATGTCGAGATTGCCTATGTTGCGCTGAGATAACCAGAGCGTGGTTAACAACATGTGACTGTTGCGTGAATACCTTTCTTTGGACACTGAGAATAAAGAATGTATTGGCAATGCGAATTTTCGAATTTCTGCATAATTCCCCAAAGCAAAAAGCCAATTGGAAAGGTCTTCGAAGTAAGAATACCGCGAGTATTAGGTTGCCCAACGCGCAAAGAAGTTTTGCATTGCGTACGGAAGAGCTGAAGAGACGGAGTCCTGACAGACGGGGCGGCCCTACATCTTAACATTTTGGTAAATCTCGCAGAAGAAAGTTTGGCTCATACAAAATCTCTCATTTTTGGCAGCACCCGCTGGGTTTAGTCTAATTACACTACGTAGGTAGATGTTAAATAAAGTGAGAATTATTATATAAGAGCCACCAGTGCACCAGTGTAAGTTTCTACAATAATCTTTGATGAGGAAAACTTACAGATTGTTACGTTTGAAACTTTATGAACCATTTCTTACTAGTATTTTTATAGTGGTACTACGTTGTACTTAGCTGTATCTGTCATGGCCAGATGCCGTAGATACGAGTCGCCGTCAGACGATATTAATACAAATAGATTTATTTTGAGCACAGGACCTTAAGTACGGGACAAACTTGTAGCTCTGGCTCCTGTTCATCGTCGTCGCAAGATACTTTGCGAAATTTTGTTGAGGTAATGCTGTACCATTTATTATTATAAGATGGGACGAGTCTTTTCATTTTGTAATCCTTTAGCAATTTCTGTTCTCCTTCCGCAAGACAATCTGGACAGCAATAGCAGCCCTGGCGGCATGAAAACCAAGGATTCCCGTTGACACATTTCCCGGCGGCTGTCTCGTGATACGCTTACCTTAATGATCGTACAATCTTTAATCTACAATATTTTTTTGATCGCCTGGATAAGATCAAGTGACACATAAAATTTTTGGTAGCATTTTTTTAAGTTTAAACCGAACGCCGTTACGCCACGTTTTGTCAAATGTTAGATACATCTCGCAAAATTTCAATTTCGCACAATTCCTCTAATCTGTGGCATTCTTTTACGGTTTCATACCACTTCTAAAATCGAATACGTTGCTTTGGTTTAAGAAATACATATCCGAATACACCGACTAGTTTCCAAGAAACGAAGAAATGGAGCATCCTGACGAAATTTGGAAAAACGTTTTTTCAAACATTATGAACTTAAAATGTTAACTGCGCTCTCTGCTTTTTTCGTTCTTTCGTTAGTTTCAATTTTCTTATTATGTATACATAGTTTTATTCGTTGTAAATTTGGCACGATGCTTTTCTACTAACAGCGTCTCGACGCAATCATCTATTGGAGTTTCACAACCGCAATTATTTCGAATACCTTCTCCCCTCACCTCAAATATTCAGAAGAAGATTACATTTTATTTCAGTACTAACTTATCGTTGTAGTATTTCGAGGATTTTCCTCGGTAATAGTTGCAGTAAGATCAACAATGCATAGTTAGAAATTTCAACGTTCCAAATCTCTTCTTTTTGTACGAGTAGCTTTAGTTTCAAAAAAATTATATTTTCTTGAAACTTAAATTGAACGTTTATATTTATATTTATTTCAAACATACGCGGCGATATCAAGTCAGCTGTAGCACGTATATTAATAGGTTCGTCACTTTTAAAACCATTGTGCCGTCACTTTCCAATGATCGTTTTCTGCCCAAATAGAATCTTTTTACATACGTAACACAGCGAACAATAAACTTCTCGAAATTTTGTAAACGTTTCCGAGCTTCAATAAAGTATCCAACATACATCTGAACACATTTAGATGATATACAAAGAAGTGAGCTGTAGCGAAACTAACACTTAACATCTAGACGATGAGTGAAAAAAATGGATGATTTTTTCTTGATTTTGATATTTCATTGGGATGATTGGATTCCTTTGTTATTATGTCCTTTAATAGTTATATCGTTTTCCTATATGGGGCCGTTGGCGGTCATTTCATTCAACAACATTCTACTCTTGCTTGAAGTTCAACATCTTTTTTAAAAAAGTTCGCTGCATGTATT